GAGCCGCAGGCTCACCTCGCTCGCGCACGAAGTAGGCCAGGTAGAGGTCCAGCTCCTTGACGGCCACGCCGATGTGGTGCGGCTGCACGCAGAGCACCGGGTGGCCGCACTGCGCCGCCTTCACCAGGCGCTCGCCGTCCGTGCTCTCCAGCGGGATGCCCTTGAACAGGATCACCATGACCAGGTCCAGCCGCCACACCTTGTCGGCCTGGCGCAGGCAGTCGATGCGCCGCATCTTGCCCTTCTGGTCGGGGTTGGAGAGCACGCAGCCCGGCGCCTTCTTGCCGGTGATGGCCAGCACGAAGTCCTCGCGGCACTCGGGCCGGATGTCCTTGCGCAGCTTGGCCAGCAGCCGCGACGCCCACTTCTGCTTCACCTCGGCCTTCTCGCCCAGCAGCTCGTCCTTCACCGCGCGCTCCTCGTCCTTGGACATGCGCTTCTCGTGCTTCTTGAAGTACTTGCGCTTCCGCGCCTGCAGGTTGAACCAGGTGTAGGCGAAGGCGCGCACGTGGGGCAGCAGCGCCTCGATGAACGGGTGGAACTCATCCTGCGGGAGAGGCCACCGGTCAGCGGGCCGCGCCTGCTCAGGGCCACGGAACCCACGGCCCGAGGGGGCCGAGGCCGGAGCCAGGCCTCCCCGGACGGACCTCCCTCGGCTCAACCCGGGCTGCAGCCCCGATGGTAAAGGCCTCACCGGAACGCAGCCCAGGCCCCCGACTCTGCGGCCATCGCTCTGCATTTTTGCGCAAAATTAGCCACACGTGAGATCTAGGCGAGGGGCCTGGCTGTGGTCCAGTGGGACTTCATTGACAAAAGTGGACACCGGGCCTTTGTCCTGGGCTCTGGTCTGCAAGCCCCTGCCCCAGACTGCCCAGAGCAGGACCAAGCAAAGCGGGTGCTCAATGGTGCAGGGAACCAGGCTCCGCCTGGCCTCCCAGACCCCTGCTGGGCAGGCCCCGTGGGGACCGCCTCTGCCAGTTGTGACATCAACAAGAGCACTGAGGACTGAGAGCCTGGCAGAGGCACGGGCCAAGGGGCCGTGGAAGGGTGCAGGTTCCTGTACAGCCCCACGCCAGGGGCCAGGTCAGCCCAGGACCACAGAGGTCACACACAGAAGGGGAGACCCCGGGCAGGCCTTGACCGTCCCCCAGCCCGCCCCACACACCCACGTGCCCACGGGGAACAGAGGCCAGGAGGCACCGGGACCTGCACCGAAGCTGTGTTTGTGCTCTGTTGCCCTGTCCCCCCATCTGGACGGGTGGCTGAGCAGGGCCCGGCCACCGGGGCCTGGCACCTGCAGCCCTGTGACCTTCCGGGCAAATAGCCCCAGCCCCAGTGGCCCTCCAGGACTGACCCCTGCTGGTGGAAGGGGCCCACTCCCCATTGTTCAGAGAGAAACACTGAGCGCAGGGAGTGCCCCCGCTGGGCCCTGGCCTTGCAGGGGGACCCGAGGGGAGCTGGGAACTGCCTCCTGGCGCCTCTCTGGGGCACCGATCCCACCGTCCCCCTGGGCCACTGAGCACCCCCTCCATGCTGGCCACTGTGATCTTGCTGCTCGGAGGGCGCATTGCCGTGGCGTTCCCGCGGCCTGACCTCAGGGGGGGGGGAAGGCCGGCTCTCCTGCCCAGAGCCGATGGGACCGAGGCCCGAGGGCTGGAGACAGGAGCGGTCACAGCCTCTGGGCCCCAGGCTTTTGGCCAGCTGGGCTGGCTGGGCCCTGTCCACCTGCGGCCTGCTCCATCTCCCCTGGGACTGCCTCTGGCCACGGGTGCTAGAGGGAGGGGACATGGGATCTTGCCTATCACCGAGTCTCCCAAAATAGCCGAGGCCAGGGCGGGGCAGGATGGGTCCAGCCGGTACCAGCTCAGCTCCCCTCCAATGTCCCCTAAAGTGTGAGTCACCGTGACAGCTGTGGCCGGGGCTGGACCTCAAGGCCCTTTCCCACTGCCTCTCCTCCCCCAACCTGACCAGCTGAGGCCACCCACCCTGTCCCCATCCGCCCCCCAGGGTTTCCCGTGTCTGGATGCGGGAGACATCGGAGACCAGAGACGGGGAGCTCTTTGTCAGGGGCACACAGCTGGACCAGAGCCCAGGCCACCTAGCCAGAGAAGAGGCGGGAGACTGGGGCCCGGTCACTGGCCAGGAAGGCCCAGGAGGGCAGGAGGCCCGGGCAGCAGCATCCCTGAGGCAGTGGCTTCTGCCCCAGCCCGGTGCTCACGGGAGCCCTGCTGGGCCGCGCTGGCCGGTGGCTGGGGTAGGGGTCCGTGTTCCGCCCCTGGACCTTCCCTCTGGAGCCTCTCCCCCTGAGCCCCTCCCTGAGGTCCAGCGCTGCCCTCCCTGTCGAAGCCCCCCACCTTCCTGGGAGAGGTGCCAGGGAGGAGGGCAGGGGTGGGGCCCACGTCACAGGTGCCCAGCTGGCCATGGAGTCAGGAAGACAAACACGCTGTAACTGGGTCAGGGACCGCCGCCCGGTCCTCCCTCGGCCTCTGTGGGAGTCAGACCAGGTGAGCAGCAGGGCCAGGCACTCTCCCGGCCCCACACGACCTACCACGCCAGGGGTCTGGTCCCCAGCACCGCCGATGCCCACAGGCCACCGGGCAGGGAGACAGCAGGGCCAGCAGCAGAGGGGCTCTGCGCTCCACCAGCCCTGGCCGCCGTCCCCAGGCCTCCTCCACTCACGTGGGACCCCACGGGCGGGGACTCAGCCCAGGCTGTCACCCCCTCCCCAACCCCGGGTCCCCAGGCTAAGGCGCCCACCGGCAGGGAGGGAGGCGGGGTGGTGCTGGCTCCATCTCCTGTCCGTGTGACCCAGGAGCAAACGGCCACCCACAGGGGCCTGTCTCTCCTTCTGTACAACTAGAGGCCAGGGACGTGGCGGGGCGTGGGCGCCCGCCTGCTCTGGAAACAGAGATGCCAGGCAGCGGAGGGACAGCGGTGGACTGTTCCCAGAAACCCCAATTTGGCTGGAACTTGCTGGCCAGAGAACAGATGCTGGGAGGGGGACACTGGGGTCCAGGCCTTGCTGAGCGCCCCCATATTCCCTGGCAGCAAACTAGGACGTGAGGTTTCGTGTCCTGTCTCCACGCCTGCTGAGCCCGTATCCCGCACTCCTACGCATCCGTCAAAGCCCGAGTTCCAATGTCCTCTTCTCCAGGTGGACGGCCAGCTCAAGGGCAGGCCACTGGCGAGTGGCAGTCTGCGTATCTGCAGCCTTGGACAAGCCCTTCCCCCGGCTCAGCGCAGCTGGGCCCCGCGAGGGAGGGAGGCATGGGGCTGCGGTTATGGTGCTGGGCACGGCTGTGACCCCGCTCACTGGGATCCGGACGTGGGGCAGGGTGGATGCTGAGCAGGTGGGTGACAGTGTCCGGCCGAGCAGAGCGCTCTGAGGGCATCTGGAGGAGGGCATCGGGGGAGGGTGAGCTGAGGAGCCTGGAGGCCTCTTGCAGAAGAGGACACTTGAATGGGGACCTGAGGGATGGCAGTGGGGGAGGGGTTTTGAGGTGGAGGAAGCTGTGCAAAGTCCCTGGGGCACAACTGAGCCCAGAGGCACAGTAGGGGGAGGAGGGAGGTGGGGGGGATGGGGCGGGGGTGGTGTAGGGTCCCGGGAGCAACCGGGGAGAATCTGAGTGAGTCCAGAGAGTGGAGACCCCTGCCAAAGTGGCCCTGGATCTCCCCCGACACACCCCTCAGTGTCCCTGGAGAAGTCTGAGGCTGGGCCGAGGCTCAGGGAGGCGGAGTCTCTGCGGTGTCAGCTCTGGGGACAAGCTTGCCTCTACTGTCCAGAGGAGGCTGGGTGTCAGAGCTGAAGTCTCCGCCCAGCATCCCACAGCCACAGGCTGCCCGGCTGGACCGCCAGCCTCACCCCTGAGCCCCTGAGCACACCGCACGGCCCCTCGGCCGCGGCTCCGGCCACCCGGGCTGCCCCCGTCCTCTCTGAACCCCACGCCATCGTCTGCCTGTCTCTCCTCTGCATGCCCAGTGCACGGCTGTGTCCATCTGGGGGTCTGACAGAGAGGCCAGAGGCCCCACAACCGTGCTGGGCCTCCTAGGCCACCCTGACCCTCTCCCAGGGCCCAAAGCTGGGGTAGCGCGGGCAGAGTGACAGAGTGCACACACGGCACAGCAGAGCGGCGGACAGTGCTGAGGGGGGAGGACAGGGCTGCAGCTCTCGTGTGGCACCTGCTGTATGCCAGCACTGCCCTGGGAAGACCTGGGAGAGACTCATGTCCCACTCGAAGTGGGTGCCCAGGCCCCAGAAGGCCAGACCCGCCCCCAGCGGGCAGAATCTGTCATTCATGCGAGAGGCATTTATTGAACACCGACTGTGTGCCAGACCCTGCACCAGACACCTCCAGTGTCCCTGCAGGCTGCCCTGCGGTGGAGGCAGCGGGTGACACAGTCCGGGGCAGGTGGGGCCCGAGGTCACATCCCCAGAGTTGCAAAACTGGGGACAAGGACAAGTGGATTCCCAGCATCCTGAGCAAGACCTTCACACGCATCTGAAGGACACGCCGGGTCTGCCCCGCGCCCCCACCAGGGCTGCGTCCTGCACCAGGGCTGCGCAGGCTGCGGCAGGCGTGCGGCTGGGGGAGGCGCCGGGTCGGGGCGCCCGGGTGGGGGGCAGCCCGCGGGGCCTGCGGCCTCCAGCCGGCGGACACAGCGGTGTTTCCCATCCATTTAGTGCGCAACAGGGAGGGAGGCGGCTCTGGCAGGAAGAGGGAGCGAGCAGGGAGAACGCTGACTCGCCAGAATCCAGCTCGGTGATTTACAGGGAGCCGGCCCTGGCTCCAAGAGGCACCTCGCCCGCCGCAGAGAGGGGAGGGGAGGCGGGGAGGCGCAGAGACAGGGGGACACAGGAGGAGGGGGGTCAGGGGGAGCTGGCCTCTGTGAGCCCCACCTGCCCAGGCCAAACAGCCAGATGGGCAGCAGCCCCAGATCCTGGCCCCACCGCCGTGCTGTGCCACCCTAGGCTGGCCCTGACCCTCTCTGAGTCTTGGCCCCTCTCCCAGCTGCGAGGTGCTGGGGCTCCCTGGTCCTGCATGACCCCTGATGCCCCTCCAGAGCCCACCCCGGGCTGGACGCAGGCCTCCTGCCTCCCCATCTCCCCTGGCACTCAGCAGGGGCCTGTAAGGAAGGCTTGGCAACCCAACAGGCCGGGCGCTCTCCCCCAGCCTCAGTGTCCACGCTGAGAAATGGCCGTCAAAAGGTGGGGGCCAAACGGGTGAGGGAGGGTGAATGAGTGAGGGAGGGACGGCGGCCGAGGTGGCCCAGGCCCAGCGGGGCCAGGGAATCCTCTTGCTGGGCCGGGCAGCCAACAGGGATTTGGCCCCAAACCCGGAATAACTAACGTGGCGGTGGCGGCGGGCGGGCGGGCGGGCGGGCGGGAGGCCACCTCCCCGCCAGCAGGATTTATGGAAATAACGGCTCCGCAGTTCCTCTTAAGAGTAAAAGTGAAAAGGCACTTGAGTCACCGCCGACCGACCGGGACAGGCTCCCAGAATCCTCCAGGGCGGCCGCTGCAGCCCCGCTCCACCCCCCCAGGCCGGCCGGTGGCACAGTGCGGGCTGGCACCAGGCACTGCCCCCCCCCAGGCCTGGGCTCCCCAGAAGGATCCGGGCCGGATCAGCTAAAAGGGAGCTATTTTAGGTTGGTCTCAGGTTGTGAAATTAGCCATGTGGGAGACCCAGAGAGGACAGGGGGGAAGAGGGGGACAGGGAGGAGGGACAGAGGCAGGGAGGGACCACTGTGAGGGAC